ATGGAGGAGAGGTAGAGATCAGATGGAAGAGAGGGAGAGTCACCAAAGGGGGGGGGGAGGAGGAGGGCAAGGAGGAGCATGAAGGGGTGGAGACGAGAGGGAAAGAGACGGCGGAGATGGGAGAGGAGAGTCGGAAGGCAGGGGAGGGGAGACCGAGCCCCCAACAGGTGGCAGAAGAGGAGCAGGAGGGGGGGGAGGGAGGGAGGATGGGGGGAGCAAAAGGGGAAAGGATGGAAGAGTGGAAAGTTGAGAGGAATGCAGGGCGGGAGAGATAAGCAAGGTAGTGAGACACCTCAACAGAGAGATGGGAAAGACAATAGGCCCCAAAATAGTGATGAGAAGTGTGAACCCTGTGAAGCCTTACTACATGGGGGGTAAATCCTAGGGAAAGTTCCAAGGAGGGGTAAGCTGGATGGGGCAGCTCTTGGTCCTAAAGAGAAGAGGAAGAGCCCATAAGAGAAGAGGAGAGAGAAGGCCGGACAGAGGAAGCAAGAGATGGAAGAACAAACAGGGGGGAGAGCCCCAGGGGAACGCAGAAGGCACCGAGGAGGGGAAGGGATGCTAAGCAGGGGCAGGGGAGAGAAGGAAGCGAGAGAGAAAGCGAGAGGAAAGAGAAGGCGAGAAGTAGAGGCAACGGAAGGGAAAGTGGAGAGAGAAGGAGCCGGCTGCGAGCTGCCATCATGCCACACGGCATCCCAGGGGAGAAGGCGAGGGGATGGGGGAAGGCTCGAGGCCAAGGATGGCGGGATACAAGAACAGGGAGGGTGAGGGGTCCAAGGCAAACAGAGAAGAGGAGGGGACATGAGAAATGAATGCAAAGTGGCCAGGGAGGGGCGGTGTGGCAATCAACAAAGGAAAGAGGACACCGGTAGGGAGCGAGGCAGGCTGAAGAGGGACAGGTGGCAAGGGGCCAGTCAACGGGGTAGATGGAGCGACGGCTGGCGGTACCACAGGCCAGAGGGTGACCGATGGCTGCGAGGCAGGCGCCACAGGGAACGTGGTAGAAGTGACCAACAGCAGAAAGGCAAGAGCCACAGGCAACATGGCAGAAGGTGGCACGGTTATGGTGAGGCACACATCACCAAATGCAAAAGAGCCAAAGGAAGGGGGACATGTGTGAACAGTAAGGAATGCCACAAGGACAGAGGGCCCAAGATCGCAAGACGGGCTAGTATCACAGGACGAACCCGAAGAGGGATCATCGACGAGAGTAGAGATAATGGGTTCTTTTCCGAGTCAACGAGGAGCCAAAGGTGACATGGAAGGAGGCACTGGAGAAGCAACTGGGGAACCCGAAAGGGCGAAGGCGGTGTTCGGACCCAGTTCTAGGGAAGGGTCCTGAACTGAGGCAGAGACTATAGGCTCAAAGGTCAGGTCAGTACTCGTCCGCTTGTCTTTAGCCCGGCTGAAACCAGAAGGCCGAGGATGTCGGACTAACTCCCGAGAGATGGAGCCAGAAGGAGAGGTAACCAGGCCAGGAGGAGGAGGGGCTGCAGCCCGATGGATGCGCCTCCTGAGCCAACGATTCTTGTGGAGAACAAGAGTCCATGCAAGAGGATCCAAAGGCTGAGTTTGGGGGGGGCGGGCGGGGAGAATTGAAGGAGGAAGGGGGTGAGGCTTCCGTCCAAGATAAAGAGACACGGAAAAAAAGAGACTGAACTTCAAGCCAGACACTTGAGGGAATCAAACTAGAATCCAAACCTTCAATAAGCACCCGGATGGACCCAAGGGGAAGTGTCTCAATGGATTTCTAATAGATAGCTATTAAATCTCCACAAGCTTCAGCTATCTTAGAGAAAGTCACTGGAGACCACGCATGGAGGGGGATGTTGTCGAGAGTAAGCCAAACTCTTTGTTTCCTGTAGGCTCTAGAAGAGGCAGACCAAGCCATAAGTGAGCAGGAGGCCCCATGAAAGGTGGAATTAGCCGGGGTCTTAAGAGCGCATTGCGCCAACTCAAGAGATGGGAAAGAGAGCAAATAGGAGCCCCCATTCAAGCGACGGCAGGTGAGAGATGGTTCGTTCCAGATTTTCTTAGCCCAACGTTCTATTCCTCTCACGTCGTCCTGTTGAGGGCGAAAAGAAGCCACTAAACAAGACTGGAGCTTGCATTGCAGTTGGGATGAAATCTCAATAGGAGGCGAAATGAGGCAGGGAAGAAAGGGGGAACAAACAAGGGGGGGGGAACACTTAGCAAGAGGAGGAGGGGGGTGACCAGAAGAAGGTCAGGGATAGTAAAGGGAGTAGCCGAGGCGAGCACTTGAGAGAAAATGACCTTGTGAGTGTCCCCTGACAGCAACCAGCAGAGGGAGAAGGAGGAGCAAGACGAGAAGGGTGGGTTTTGGGGTAAGACTGTAAATCAGATCCCAGTAGGTAGGGGGAGGAGAAGGGCGACGACGACGACACCAAGCCCCCATGGTCTTTTTCTTCACTGCCATGGACGTGTAGTTGTTCCTACAAATGGGGGACCTGTAGTTGTTCCCACAAATGGGGGACTTGTAGTTGTTCCTATCAGTGGGAGTGCATTAAAGACAATTACATTCGTAGCCGTGCTTATATGCATATGCGTGTCATCATATTGCATTTTTCTAAGCTAAACTCGATCTTGGGGCAAACTAACTCTCCTTATCTCGATATGGACTTTCGGAGTGTATTGTATGAAAGAGGTGTGAATGGAATAGTACTTTGTTTCATTGATTGTTACAAGTTTTGAAATTTTATTGCATGTACTATAGTTATTGTTATATGCTATTCATCAATGGGGCTGGATGAATTGATAAACATAAGCATACATTCGATATGTTTCTTGGGAATTTGGTTTTGTAAATGTCATTCATTAATGCATACATATATTTGACATGAAATACTATTAAAAATCCAGGATGTCTATTCCAATTACTCTACCAAGTGGCGATGTTTACAGGCGTATCAATTGGGCGAACATGACAAAATCATATTCAAAACTATGGTTGAAGTGGGTGCTACGAACCTTAAAAAGGACTGGATATAAATAGTTTATGTTATGCGTGAAGCATACAGGCCTATGTTCACCATAGACAGACTCAAATATAGGGTTAAATCGTTGAAGTTTTTGTATATAAATGTTAAACAGCTCCTTGATCGACCTGGTTTCCAATTCGATGAAGGTAAAAGGAAGATATATGTACTCGGTTGGGAGGAGTACATTCAGGGTAATGAGGCAATTGCAAGGAAGTTCGACAAGGTCCTACCACTTATGCACCTTGTTGACCTGTTTTTGCAATTGTAATGTATTAATGGATTTCTGTTGTGGTTTGAATTAGAGCATATTAGATTGCAAGTACTTAACTTAATTAGAAGGAATTGTATTTTCTTGAACTTTGCAAAGCTTGTGCTAAGTTTTCGTATTGTTTGGATACAAAAAAGTAAGCAGCAATCGACTTGAATTCACATCTAAAATTTGTCCACTCACTATCCTTTCTCTCTTCCCTTTTATGGCATTCTCTCATTGTGATTGTGTTACCATTGGCTTTAATACTTAGAAATTTATTGCAAATCTAAATCCCTCATTCTGAGAGAGACATCTTCCATGGATTTCCAAAGCTACAAGGACAAAAAATTTATTGTGCAAGGATTTAAGAGAGAGAGAGAGAGAGAGAGAGAGAGAGAGAGATTATTAAAATCTGGACATTTCATTCAAATCCAAAGCAACAATGGAAGAAAGAAACTTATAATTCAAAATGCAACTTAGAGCTAAATCGCCCCAAATGACTCTTATCAACGACCCTAAATGACCCTTATTAACCAAGGCCCAAAAATCGCCCCAAAGGACCTTTATCAAAATTCAATTAAGTTTTTTTCTAAAAATATTATATATTAATAAATATCTATCTTTAAAAGGTATTTTAGAGAGAATCCTTTTCCAATAGATTTGAATGAAACTTCTTTAAAATTAAATGTAAAGTAATAATGCAAAAACTACAACTGAATTTTCATGGATTGACATCTTCCTGGAAATCCAAATAGTGGACAGGACTATCCATGTTTCTTATCAGGTGCTATCCAAAACAACAGATAGCCCTATCCCAGGGACAGACCAATTCCAGGAGCAGCCAATTCTAGTATCAGCCAATCCCGGGCATAGTCCAATCCAGGTACCCAAATGGGCCCCAAGTTCATATTTCATTCCTTCTTTTTTTTCTTTTTTGTTCCTCCTCTTATGTGTATGGACTATGAAGTATGGTGTGTATAGACTATGGGCCATGAGTTATGTCTAGTACTGAATTTGAATGTTGGATAATATTTTCGTATTTCTTTTAATACGTTAGTAACTAATTGTCCAAATCTCAATTATTTTGGACCTCAATATGTATTTTTTTAACTGATTGTATGGAGTATGGACTAATGATATGAAGCGTATGGACTATGGATGGACTATGTGTCATGCATTCTTAATGTGTGCAGCTATTCTTAATGTGTTATGCCTCAATATGAATTTTTTACACAAAATTTGAACCTAAAACAATTGGATCAAACACCTTTTAACCTTGTTCTTCTACCTGGGCCAACCAGGCCACCACCTAGGCACTGAGCAGCTAGGACCCCTTAGCCACCTAGGTGCTGCCCAGCGTTTTTTGGAACATTAGAAAGTAGTGCCCATAGGCCAAATAAGGGGACTCATCCTAGGCGAGAGAAAATAGAAAAGTCATTTTAACTCCATCCAGTACAAATGCACTTTGTGCAGAGATAATATACACATCGGCCAAACAGGCAGCATAATGTCTCACCACCAAAGAGGCTCTATGTAGATCACAATTACAAATCAAGAAAGAGAAAAAACATGAGCATTAAACTTGGAGTTTCATAGCAGATCAACTTTAACTATCTCAATGCTAATGTGAGACAAATAAAAAATAATGCGCCGCAACTTCAACAAAATACATTTATCCAAAAAAAAAACTTTAACAAAATACTGTCACATAACAGGAAAGTTTAAGAGCTAAAAGAATACTAGAAACTAACCTGCCAACTCTCACAAGAAAAGAAGAGCAGGCTATCTCACTGTTCAAAGAGACTCTCGGTGATATCTCAAGGGTAATAGCATCGATTTGGTAGTCTCGAAAAGCACCATGAGGAACAGTGGGCACACCAAGGGCCTATAATATGGTACAAATGCACAATCAAAAGAACTCAACCTTATAAATACAAAAGAATTTCCATTATATCTGAAAGACTGCATTATGGTAGTAAAATCAAGCAACAATTTGAAGAGCTACCTGGTGATATACTGAGCTTGCAAGGACAGCTATCCCTTCAACATAATCCAGTACAGGAAGCGCAAATCTCCACTTAGGGTTTAAGCCTCCTGCAATGTTGCTCACTCCTTCTAGAAATTTGCCAACCACCTTTAGCCATAGAGAATTAAGTAAAGAAGATAACTTCCCCACTTCAACATGCAATCCATGCCTATGAACTGCCAAATAATGCACGATATTAATGAGGTCCAGATTTGGCATCTGGCCATTAGAAGACTCTGCACATATATTAACATTATCCGTCCCAGTCCCCTGTGATGTTTCTAAAACCTTAAAGACAATTGCAGCTGCCATAGTGCCAGCATGTTTAAAGTCCTCTGAAATGCCCCTCAGAAACAGAATATCCCCATCAACTGGGTGAAAATTTAATTTCTTTCTGATAAATACTGGATCATGGTACTGTTTGAGCCATTCTGCAACTGAAGCATATTCTCCAAATTTTGAATCAGCTGCCAGCCACACAATATCTTTGGCAAGCCGTGCAGCTCGGCCAAGGAGGCAGAATATTGAGTAAGCAAGGCTTACTGATAGGGCATCACTTGGTTCCATTTTATCTGAATTGTAATGTGAAACTAACACAATTGCTTCCTTTCCATCACCATGAGGAGCTGTTATGATGCCAATTGAGTTAACGGCACGTGTAGAAGAATGATTGTTATGATCCTCAATGGGTGCCCCTATAAAGAAGCTCATTGGATGAAATTGTTTTTTTGGAGAGTAGAAACTGTGGTAGTAAACATCGGCACCAGTTTCATCCATGTGTTTGGCTATAATTTTATAGGTTTGCCTGCATTCATGAACAATCAAGATTGATAAAACATCAGTGCGTGTTGATTATGCACCACCAAGAAAAAGTTACATATAATATTATAAAAGAATATTTTTATTATTATGAAGGATGAATGTATTCTAGCAAAATCCATATGGTCAAAAAGCTAACAAAATTACAAATGCTTCCAGAAGGCATTAACACCATGAAAGGTATGAGAGATTTCACTAAAGCTTCCTAACAAATCCAACAAAACAAATGTAAGGATGGATCACCGAAGCACCTGAGACAACTATTGCCAGCTAGGGCAGAAATAGACTCCTTTCCCTCCAAACCTCAATTATCGGAAATAAGGGAACCATGAACGACCTTTCGCTACTCATGCGTAGCAATTTCATGAAGTAGCAAGGATAATATCAAGTTCCTGATTAAATCCTTCCTGGACCCTTACTGAACACTATGGCTTGTACGAATTGTTCTACAGTTTCTACCATTTTACGCTCATAATAGAGATTGAATATAGCTGAAGCCATAACAATGAACCATACGAAAGATGCTGCACATCTTCACAGAAGGCTAGGGACTAGCCATGACAAGAGCATAAGTTTTCAATCCTTTAGATGCCCAAATATAACAGAGCCAAAGACCAAGAAGATAAAAATACTGCAAAATTCCTACAATACAATGGATGTCACTGCAAGTCCAGATTCACATCAATTCGTTCTAGATGCCCCAAAAGGCAGCCAGTGGACAACTTTGCAAATATTCGCCTGGCCCATGTACTAATGTTTGAGATCATAAAGTTTCCCAATTGACTTGAGCTTAAAAGACATGTTCTTGAGCATCGTACAAATGATAAAGGGACAGTGAAGAAAGAGGCCCACAATCTCCTCTGTCTACCAATATAGAAATCGAACAGTCAGAGTACCACACCATCTCTTGAGATGATCCATAGCAATGTTTAACCAATAATAGCCAATCAACCAAATGATTTATGAGGTCTCCAAATTGCCATACATCACTTCCATGAAACACTCCTAGGAAGGATTTTATCTACAAACAATCCCAGTTGTCCCACTTCAACAGCCCTTTGTCAGGAATGCAACCCCAGATAAATACTTAGTTGAAGCAGCTCAAAAAATCACCTAATTCCCTTCTCTGTATCCCTCATGTCTTTTAGAATGTGGGCACCACACCATTTCCACGCCACACAATCCTTAACCAACACCTCTGTATCCAAACACCAAAGACGGTCATGCCAAATGCTGGTAAACTCATGACCTCCCACACCACACTGCCCCACAAAAATAATGTTGTTCCATACCTTATCCTGAATCTGATCTCATGTAAATTATAATCTCCTATAACATATTAATGTCCAAAACCCTGTGGTGCATCTTTGATATCTCTGATGCTCCAGCAATCACGTCCTAGGCCATATTGCCTTTCTCAGCTCTCTGTGACTCCAACCTTCAAAGCCTCAATCTCTTCCTGAAAATGCCAATGCACCTCATCTGAAAGCGTCCTTTATTAGCCTTAAGTGCTCCATAAGAAAGTCATCCTAGACTTTAGATCCATTAGTATTTTACTGCCTAACCAAAACAAGCTTAAAGCTCTTACAACATCCTCCGCACAAAAACTCCCTGTAGATACTCTTTAAGTTCTCAATATCCCTGCCAGAATTTGAAAAATAGATGTAAAATAATAGTAGTAGTAGTAGTAGTAGTAGTAGTAGTAGTAGTAGTAGTAGTAGTAGTAATAATAGTAATAATAATAATAGTAATAATAATAATAATAATAATAACAATAACAATATAATAATTCCAAGGTTAGAAAATAAAACAAAGTGAAAGGTATCTAACAACCAAAGTCAAAGTGGTCAAAGTGCTTACATTCCATTTTCAACCCGAATAATTTTCCAATCAATAAGCTCTTTTATCAATTCGTTTGCCGTCACTGCATCTTGACTGGAGAATGTAGGTTTTGCAGAACCTGTAAGCATGATGCTTCCTTTAGGATTAAAATACTATAAGAAAGTATCATACAAAGAGTAGTAAATCGCAATGCACATGAAAGAGCATCTAGAAATCGATAAATATAAGTAGGAACTTTGCAATTATCAAAAGCCTTGTGCATATTCAAAAGTCTTGAGCATATTGAAAGATAGCAATGAAAGATAAAATGTCTCAAGGATCTATACACAACGTTTCTCAAAGAGTTCCAACAAAACAAAATCCATAACCTTAGGAAAGAAAATTGTGGATGAAGATTTTCAGTACACTTTAGAAAATAAAGAATAGAAAAAGGGCAATTGATATGCTTCAATTGTTTATTTTAGCATCAATTTCAAATCACCCAACTAAGTCATAGACACTTTTTAGGGGTACCATTTCATTCGTAAAAAGAAAATATAAGGACCTTGTAAGTTAATGCTAAACATGAACTCGTCCAAGTTGAACTACATGTCAACAACACATGCCAAATGTAAGACCCTCTACTATTAATTTCAACACGAAAATAAAAGACAACATAAGACCATGAACCAAATTACTGCTAAAATGCAAGCAATCCATGTTATTTAGCATCAAGGGTTCGCCACAAAACAAAATAGAGGCCCTCAAAATGGACGATAGTATAGAAGATAATAATCCAAATTATTACCTTCATCTAACCTACACCTTGAGCAACTATGAGAAACCATGTGAATATGCTGCTGTATAATAACAATCAAAAAACAAAGATAAATGGACTTTTTACGTGTAGGTAGATAGAGAGGTGGATTTCATATGGAAAAAACTCTTACATATTTGATCATTTAATGGCATGACAAACCTTAAAAGTAATACAAAAGAAAATAACACCATATTGATTGGAGGAATGATAACTCCAAAAAAGCAGTCCAAGCACAACTTAGTTGCCATCTTTTTTCCTTTCTTTTTTTTTTCCTTTCCCCTTAGTCATACAAGACATTATTCTAGATTATGAGGCACATGGCTTAATACATGGGCATATGATTGCCACATCATTGGTTTTTGTGAATAGCAAGATCTACCATAGAACACAATACACTTTGTTCTTCAAGTCAAGAAGCCCTTAACTCCTACTTGATATGGCCATGTATCGCTAGGATTGATGCAACTGAATATTTAGTGGGATACTGAAGAGATCATGTTTCTTACAATGAATAGATAAACCCCATTGCATGGCTCGTCAACAAGCCAAATGTAATTAAGGGATACAAAATGCAGTGGTCATAGAGAGACATGATAAAGCAACATCCCAGTAAGAGCTCCTAATCCAAAAAAGGAAAAAAAGAATCACCAAGAGCTCAAATGAATAGTTAATGGGATTCCCCTTCCCTAAAGTGTGCTAAAGATCAATTTTGACGGAAGCTCCAAGGAGCCTTAAACCAGCAAGCATTGGGGGCATCATTTCTGATGCTAAGCCAAAATCATCAAGCCAAGTTTTATTGGTTTGAGTCACACTTTTATAGGAAATTCTTTTAGTCCCAGACTATCAAAAGTGATATTTTAAAATCCATTCAGTGGCACAACAGTCAGTACTATGGAGGGTCCATTAGCTTATCAAAACAGGTTAGAGGTCACTGCTGTGTAAAATGCTACCCATTAAAAATTATATAACCATTATATAATTACTCCCATAATAATTACTATTTTGTTTTATTATTACTCATAAGTATATAAAATTACATTTTATGCCGCAGAGTTCAAAATATGAATGTTATTTCACATTCTTAAATCAGCATTTACAGCCTTTAACAAGAGATTTATGAATTGGGTAGCTATAATCATGTGATACTTGCAAAGTTTTATCGTTTAGTTGCAAATATCAACATTTTAGGTCAAATTAAAGTGTTAAAACAAAGCAACCCAAAATTTGATAAAATTACTGAAAACGATGATCATACAAATCAAGTCTAAAGAAACACATTAAATATGGGACTTTAACAAATTTGAGTTCACCTTATACCATCGACGACCACAACTAAGCAATCAAAAAAACCAGAGCAAGATACAGAAAAATGACTGGCTGTAAACATTTCCATGAACGAAGAAATAAAGATATTTAAGGAAACAAAAAATTTCTATATATGAAAAGCGAAGAGAGAGTAGGTGGAGAAAAAAGAAGAAATGCCCAGTAAAGGCGCGAAAAAAGTCTTACCCGGCATGAGAGCATTCTCAGATATATAGGTACTCTTTGCGAGAATGGGTAAGAGCAAGAGGGCGACAAAGGCTGTAAAACAGCAAAACACACTGCTTTTCCCACACAAATCTCAGCCAAACCACAAATGATAGAAAGAGAGAAAAAGACTGAAATGAAAATTGATGGAGAAAAAGTTCCAATGGTGAAGACAGACCTGACAGCATAGCTGTGAGAATGAGGAAATCCCCTAAGAAAGCGATGAGTAGGGGTTTTCTCTTCTTAGGTGGCGTAGACGAGTCCTCGCCATCATTTTCCGCCATTCGAACTCCTGAATAGACCTCCCTGTGAGACTTGAGACTAATTCTTCAAAAAATGCATCCCCATCTCTCTCTCTCTCT